ATAGGCAGGACTTTGTGAAATTCCCCATTCACCCTAAACTGTTCCCTGGTGTTGTCATTATACACGTCTTTCGTAGGCAATCACACTGTTGAGATTTCACGGGTGCAGCTTCCCTGCCACACCTAGAAGACAGTAGCTAGCAGCAAGTGCCCTGGTCTTCTGGCTCTTACAGTCAATCAATGGCTGCCAAGAGAGGGAAAATCAGTCTTCTCCAGGGATAAGCTCCCTGATAGGTTATCCAGTCCCAAGTGGTCAGCCCTAAACACATATACAAGGGAGCACCACTAAATGAACTCAGTAGACTGAGTGTATGTATGTATGTATGTATGTATGTATTGTGTATATGTAAAAATAATAATCGAAGATGTCACAAAATTGAGAGGGGATGGAAGACGACTTGGGAAGAGTTGGAGGGGGAAGAGGCAGCGGTGGAAATGATGTAAATGCAGTACTCGTGTATGAAAGTCTCAATATATATTGAGAGGGGGAGGGGCTAAGGTTTTGGTCCTGATTCTGAAATCAAGGTGACTGAGTATACGGTTCCTCCTCTTTGGCCCTTTACTGATTCACATCCAGTGTGAGCACTGGAAAACCTTTCTTCATTTCAGGTCTGATGTGATGACCTCTGCAATATTGGATACAAGCATGCTTTTACTACATGAAAACGAGTATTACTGACTGATTGAACAATAAACTTTTGGTCTCAAATTCATGCTAGTGTTTCCTGAATTCTAAAAAAGTGAACTCAGATAGTGTGATACTGACCCCAGAAAGGTGACTGAATGTTTTCAAACAAGGGCACACAGTCTTTGTCTGGGGTATCTCAGCTACCATACACTACTTCAGAACATAGACTACAATGGACTTGGATTCCCAGATAAGCACAACATTGCAGAGCCATTTGTCTTAAATTAACCTAAAGCCTGTTATCTGGAGCCTAATTAAACATTAACAGTTGCTTATAGAAAGCAATTCAGAAGTCACTCAGCAATAGCATCTTGTCACTACAGAAAGCTTTAATTAGCAGTGAGTGCAGGTCTGGGAAAGCTTCTCTTCATTTGTGTTGCCTTCAGCAACAGCCAAGGCACTTCCATCATCCAGCACCCTACAGAGGGTCTGATGAAACAGCTGTTCATTCATCACCATTCTGGAGGAACCTCAAGCAATAAGAGTTTTTCCTTCATTCGGGAGTAAGCAAAAACAAAGGCAGATATATGTTGTTCAGCAAAGCAGCTGGAGGATTCATAGAAAACATCCTCAATTACTTGAAAGTTTTCTTTCATTCTACAGTTTTTACCTCATAGGCATGGGCAGGATTTTCCTGTCTGCCAGTTTCCTGTTCCCAGTTATTTCCGACACGTCAGCCCTCTCAGAAGAATTGGAAATTTCTCCCCACTGGGTTTTGTTGATCAAGAATCTAAATATAAATTACTATGACCAGCACCAGATGGAGACTAGGTTCCTTTGGGCATACTCTGCTCATCCTCTCTTGACCCCTGGACCACTGTGAATATTCCAAATCACTCACTATTTTGAGCTGTGACTTTAAGTTTCAACTTGAAGCTGATTCTATAGCATGTAAGAAAGTAAGTCACTATTCTTGGCTGGTGAGTAACCTGCCCTCTCCTAAAAAGAAATGCAGTGATTTAGCAGGATCACAGAAGAAAATATTTCCACATTTCTGGGGCAGACTGACTCAGTTTCTTTTGCCTCAGTTGTTCATTTGGTCAACCGATAACCAGCTAATGTCTTTGCTCCTCAAACTCACACTGGCACTAGGTTTGAGGGATTAAATAAGCTTGCAGCAGAAGTCCAACACTGCCACTGCCATGTATACTAGGGTAGCATTCTCAGAAAACAATGATGGCCGAAGGAAGTAGCCAGGCCCTATTCAACTTCTCCCCTAAAATGCACGTAATATATTTCCATTTGCATAAGATCTAAACACAGGGAAAAGGAGGGAGCTATTAGAGCCAGAGTGGACATCAGAAAGAATCTGATATCCTATAATCAACAATTATACAGTGTAATCTGGACTCTGTCATAAAAAGCCTACCATGTTCAAGCAAAAAGTCCATGAAGATGAGTGAATGTCGAGCTCTGAGCCTCTTGACAGATGCACGCAAGACACTGTGGAATAGTAAATACATTTCCACGCACCAGTGAAAGACGAAAGTACAAGAGAAACCACCCTGGGCTGGTTTCCAATGCCTACATTTATATTTATGTTTATTTTATCACTTGGAGTTTATGTCCTCCTAATTATCCAGCACTGGAATTGAGGCTGGTCTTACATGTGTGAAGCAAGACCACATCTAATTTGTGTGCTTCCTTGCTACAGAATATTAGATAAATTTTCAGAAGGAAATCTAAGGGCTGCATAATGAATCAAACCACTCAACGCCAAGGCTACTCAAGTATTATCACCAACCTCAAGAGACCTACTTTTAAAAAGGCATCTAAAGCGAAGTAATGGTGGAGTTTTTAATTGGGGCATTACTGATTTAAGCACATCCCAAGTCATTCAGGTGGCCTGGACTTTCTTTATTCATATTTTTTAATTATATAATGCCTTCCTCATGCATAACACTAATGAGCATTGATATAATTATTTCTTATATCACTTTTCTGAGGTAGGTGTACAGAATAATGACATATACATATATTATTTTAAGTACAAGAAGATTTTCAGTCCATAAATATGTTCACTGATACTATGAAACAAAATGAAAATATGACCCTAAATTTCTTAACTCGAACTCCTATTTTGAAATACTCTACACCACCCACATCTGCTAAAATCAAGTTTCTCTAGGCTACTCCCCCTGAAATCATCAATTTCCACTGTGACCCTAGATTCTTCATGCTTCGTGTATCTCCCTACCACATTTTACAAGAATGGGTCTATATGGTCAATAAGGCAAAAGGCGATGGTATGTTACTTCCACAGAGTGCCTCTGCCTCATGTGTGTCTTTTCTCTTGACTTGTGTGCTCTGGACAAAGCTAGCTACCATGTTGTGGGAGTACTCAGGCTTCCTTCTGAGGAAGTCCGTGTGTAAAGAGAATTGAAGGATCTTGGCAATGAGCACAGGAGTGAGCTTGGAAGCAAGGCCACTGGCCCAGTCAAGCCTTAAGTGACTAAAATCCTGCCTAATATACCTCACCAACAAACTTAAACCAGAATCACCTAGTACAGGTACCACCAAAGCCTGGTTCATAAAACCCATTGCCTTCAGCCAGGAAGTTTTGGGGAATGTGGTTATGTAGCAATTGATAAACCAATGTACATTCCTTTCTGGTCTTAAATGACAATATTGACACCTTATCATTTATTTCTCTAAAGTGATATAGTCTAAAGTAAAATTCCATGTGTTCTTAAAGCACAAATTCAGGAATTTTTTAACCAAGTCAAATAGCATATATGGTGTTATTCTAATAATGCATGCTGGGAAAGGCTTCACACTCCCATTAACTGTACAGATTGGCTCACATTGGAATGAGACACTCATAGGCACATACACAAACACACACAGGCACACACGCAGAAATATGTATAAACACACATGCATATACAAAAATACACATGTACACAGAAGAATACACACAGCACACATGCATACACACAAATACACTTGCAGAAGTATAGTTTGTTAACTTGCTGGCATAAATCTTACCAAGCTGCTAAACTAGGATTGTGATCAAAATAAAACAAGATGGAAGCTGTTTTAAGTTTATTATCTGCTGAATTTAAATCACTTCAAGAAATTCCTCAATGGTTTATTATTATTTTTAATTGTTTCCATTGAATTTTTATGTATTTCTTACGGAACATCCAAAACAATCTTAATCATCTTTATACCCACGTCCCCACCAGCACCCTCCCATAGCCTCCCCACTGGAGCCCATATACTTTATCATTCCTGTTAAGGCCTACTGTGTCAAGTTAGTGTCCCTAGACATTTCCCTGTGCAAGTCCATCTACTAAGTCTAGTCAGCCTATGTTGTTTTAGGAATGTCAGCTCCTCTTCACCTAACAGAAATCAGTTGCCAATATTTCTTCAGGTAAGATTGGAGTCTGCTGTTCATTTTTCCAGTTCTATGCTGATTTTTTGTCTGCCTGAGTTTGCCTGGACTTGTACATGCTGACATCACTGCCACAGAATCATATGAGCAGGTTCCCTGGAGCTTGTAGGACTCTGTTTCCATATGGTCATGCACCTCCTCCCCGACTCTTATAATCTTTCTGCCCCCTCTTCCAAGATGGTCCCTGAGCCTTGGGTTGGTGAAGTTTAATATAGGAGTCCTGTCCAAGGACCAGCATGCAGCAGCTCTTGATCTCTATGCTTTGACCATTTGTGACCTTTTGTGTTCCTGGCCCTCCCTCAATGCTTTATTTTTTAGAGGAAAAAAACTCTTCATCATCCCTCCATAGACTGCAAACACCAAAACTAATTCAGTCTCTGAACCACTTTTCAGTACCAGCTTTCCCCTTATCTGAGAGACAAACACTTTGAGCACAACTCGTTCATTCATTGTCGTGTCTCCCTGTTAAATCTCCAGTGCAGCTAAGTAAACCGGAACTCAGGGAAGGTTTGCGGGGGGGAAGGGGGTTGTTATTTCATTAGCTATTTTTTTTTAATTTTATTGAATTTTTGTGTGTTTCATACAGAACATCTGAATCAATCTTAATCATCTTTATACCCCCTCCCCACTGGCATTCTCCCATACCTCCCCCACTGGAATTCATACATTCTGTCATTAGTGTTAAAGCCTATTGCATCAAGTTAGTGTCTCCAGAAGTCCCCCAGTACAAGTTCTTCTATTAAGCTCTACTCAGCCTATCTAGAGACCCTCACTTTAGGAAGATCAGCTCTTCCTCACCCAGTAGTAATCAGTTGCCAATATTCCTTCAGCTAAGACTGGGTTCTGCTGTCCATTTCCCCAGTTTTACGCTGAATTTTTGTCTGCTTGAGTTTGCATGGGTCTCATGCATGCTGACACTCGCTTCGGCAACATATATACTAAAATTGGAATGATACAGAGAAGATTAGCTTGGTCCCTGTGTGTTTTGTGGTTTGAAAAAAAATCTGTTCCTGTATTTTGCAATATTTTGCTAACATGCTGATAATGCCAGGTTCCTGTTGCCTGAAGATATCCCACAAAAGAAGTGTAGCCTCAGACGGGCGTCCAGCTTTTAATCCTCTGAGTTGTATTTTAGCCTGAAATCTACTCACCAAATCAAATTTACCATATCTATAGTCAAAGTAGTTTTACCCAGGGTTCAGGGACAGGGAGTCACACCGTGGAATTGTGTGTGTGTGTGTGTGTGTGTGTGTGAGAGAGAGAGAGAGAGAGAGACAGAGAGAGAGAGAGACAGACAGACAGACAGACAGAGACAGAGACAGAGAGACAGAGACAGAGAGATTCTAGGTTATTTACTGAAAAAGAAAACTGAATGTAAGTAAGTGTTATTGCTAAGATTCCTTGTGACTATGAAAGAATTCTCTAATGAAAATAGATGGCGGTTTCATTAGTGAGAAGTTAAGAAGAAAGAAAACATTGCCATGTTTCCTCAATTTGTTAGCAAAATATGCTAGTAACCATAAGTATGTGAGGTAATGTGTACATTAATTAGCCTGATTTAGCCATTCCACAACTCAGATATATTTTATAATATTATGCTATATAACAAACATGCAACTTTTATTCACCAATTTTTTAAATAGTCATGAAAAGAAAACACGCTGGTAGCCATAATGAGTTATGCAATTTCTGAAACACAACACTTCTTTATTCCCACTTTTATTTTTGCCAAATGGGTTAGTCAACATTGGAGGAAGGCAATAAATCTGAGCTAACACATCAACAACTAAAACAAGAAGGGGCATGTTCACTGTGTGTTAATGACCTCCATGTGCAATGCCAGAACACACTGAGGCAAAATAAAGAAGAAAGCAGTGCTTATTCTCCTTAGTGAGCTCTAAGTTATCGAACTTAAGGCAATGGCCGATAGGTAAAACTATAAGGTTTAATTATTTAAAATTTAGGTTATTTCTGTATTTGACTTTAATTATATGGTATTTTTATAGTCTTTTTCTACATACTCATTCTTTTGCACCTTGTTCGTGGTTATAGAGCAACTTATTTGTGTTCTCTTTGAAAATTTTAACATATTTTATTAATTCTTTGAGAATTTCTTTTAACATACATACTGTGATCCTATTCATCCCCACTACTCCCCTTAACTCCTCCCAGTTCCACATCCCCACGTTCTGAACCCCTCCCAATTTCATGTCCTCTTTCTTGTAAGTAACCCACTGAATTCAATTTGTGCTTACAATCTTTCTGCTTTCTCTTCCGAAAGAGTCCCTGCACCTGGTGGTGGTGGGATGATATAGATGCCCCATTTGTGGCTGAGCCCTCCACTGACAACTATTCTCTGTACTTTGGCCAGCTGTGAGCTTCTGCATTGACCATCATCCACTGCATAAAGATGTTTCTTCCATTAGGTCTGAGAACTGCACTAATCTATGGATATAGAGATACACATTTAAATGGAAGCTTGATATTATGTGCATTTAGCAGAATAACAGTAGTAGGTTCACCTCTGGGGCTTGTGAGCTCCCCAGTCGTTCATTTGTTGTATATGTGTTTGTGAGTGTATGCACATGCCACAGAACAAGTGGAAGTCAGGGGACAACTTAGCGGAGTCAGTTCTCCCCTTCTACCTTGCAGGTTCCAGGGACTGAACTCAGGTATTTGGGTACCAGCTCAGCTGTCTCTCTAGTTCATTTATTTGGGTTTTTGCTAACTTAATCCACAGAGTAAATTAACACAGTTTTATCTGGCTATCTCTTATTTGAGTCCACACACTATGGTTAGGGTGTCTTAATAACCAGATAACCTAGGAAATCTGTTAACTGAAAAACAGCTATGATTCAAATGACAGAAATTTATACAAACTTATAGAAAATTACTTATTTTATCAAATATTTAGCTGGATAGATATATTTTAATGTGTTGTTTTATAGAGATACTCATTTCCAACCCTGCTTCAGAAGGAAATTTAGTTTATAGGGAGAATGTGAAGCGTCTGAAGGCTGCGAGTTCTCCTCTGGCTACTAGAGATGCTTGTGTTCCATCCTTCCCATTCTTTCTATGTTCTGATCTAGAAGATCAGGCTCACAGATGCACCAAGATCCCTTCATGCAAATAATAAGTCCATGTTTTATAAAACCATAGGTTTTTCTTATTTTTAAATTAGCACACACAGAATTATGTTTCATTATGGCATTTTTGACCAAAACATGTTTTTTTTTTTTTTATTTCTACCCCACTTCTCCTCTGACCGACACTCTGCACGACTCCACGCCCCTGTAGCCTCCTTTCTGCTGTCATGGCATTTGTACTCTTTTGCTCACCCCCTTCCTCAACACTGCTTTCCCCTTCTCATGCTTCCTTTATAACTTGACAGCCTCCACCCTCACTCACCCCCATTTATAAACACGCATATGAATGTTATAAGCTATTATCTGCATATGACAGTCATTTGATTTTTGTCTTTCTGACTCTGAGTTACCTTGATTGATATAATGCTTTCTGGAAATGGTCTGAGGCGTCATCTAGATTGCTTGTATCCTCCTTGGTATCCAGACTGTTGCCTGAACTGTTGCCTCCTTCAAAAATTCTTTAGTTGGTTGCACTTTTAGCTGGGATCACCACTTTGGATCCCAGGTGACATCCTGAGGTGACATCCTGAGGTGACATCTCATTTGATCAGATATAATCTTTTATTTACTTCATTATGTCTCCCCGTTCCTTCCTGCCTTTAGAAGTTCATGAATGCAGCTCTTCTATACCTTGACTTCAGCCTCTACACTTACTCATTGCCTTATTTGTTCTCATTTATAGACTTGACTCATAAATCTTAAATGCAAAAACAAAGTGAGGCTTACAGACTTAAATTGCCCCCGATTCCACATAGCAAGTGGAGGGACGACGACTGGGTTTTTGGCTTTATCTTTCTCCCATCATGCTCTCTGCTGTAGCACCTGGAAAAGTTGGTGCTGAGATAGAACAGATGGGTCATTTGGCTGACTAGTAGCATAAAGCTTCAGCTTTCCATACTGTCCTCATTTGAATAACAACACAAAATTTTCAAAAGCAGAAAATTCCAGGTCTACTTAAAAACTGTCTAATAATAAACAGATCAGCTTGGATTTACAGGTCCTTGGGTTTGAAATCCCCACATTTACTTATTTATTTATGATCTCAACGAGCTCCAGGTGGCCTTGAACTTGATATATAGCCAAGGATGACCTTGAACTCCAGATCCTCCTGCCTCCACCTTCTGAGTGCTGAGATTATGGACATGTGCCACCGTATTTGACTTTATGTGGTGCTGAGGCTAGAACCCAGGGCTTCATGCATGCTAGACAAACATTGTAGCAACTGAGTTACATTCCCTAGCCTTACTCGCTTTATTAAGCAATAAGATACTTATTCATAAGGGTGTTTCCAAATATTGCTAACAACTTAAAATACTTTCGTAATTGAAGAGAGTTCCATAGTAATTTTTGATGATCTAATGATTTAACTGAGGGAAATACACTCTTGAACAATGTTTTTTAACCCAATCATTAATAATGCAATCTGGCCAGATCATCAGAATTAGATTAATCTAGCTTATAAATGTTAGCATTGACATCTGAGGACAGCTTGATCTTTAAGAATGAATGAAGCACGAAGACCTGTCCCCTGAGAAGATGAATAGATTATTTAAATACCCTACCACTCTCTGTGACTGTTTGGATTTGCAGCTAACAAATCTGAAAAGTTCACACTCTTCAAACTAATCTAGCAACACACACATATATATTTCAGGAGTGTGCCTCAAAATTTTGTCTTTTCATGGAAGTTTGAAAAAGCCATAATTTACAGATTGGAAAGATGTCCATCCTAAACCAAAGAATACCCAAAATGAGTTTCAAACATTGAACTATTTTTGAATTAACACGGTGTCTAAATAACATCAATGAAAAACATTAAAGAACTTTGTCCAAGGTTAGAAGATGAAGTTGGCATACCTTTTCAAGATATTGGGGAGAGATTGGTGTTCAAAATGTATTTTACAGCAATACATTATGTTGAACCCTTATAACCTGCATAGGTGCATCAGCCACAGGGACAGGACAGTGTGACCAAGGTTTCTGCTGAGTGGGTGGGTCAACTATGCAAAGAGAGCAGTCTCTTTATCCTAGGCTCCATTCAATTTGCAATCTGTGGCAGTGTATAAGGAAGCATCAAAAGCTCCTGATTCACAAACTGTTTTTGGCTTTTTCCATTATCAGCGTGCTCAACTGATGTAAACTGAGATGACCAGCAGATGGTCAGAGCAGCATTCCAAAGGCATCCAAGCAAGCCCACCAAAAATGATGTAGGAAGAAAGAAGGAAAGAAAGAGAGAGAGAGACAAAAGAAGGAAGGAAGGAAGGAAGGAAGGAAGGAAGGAAGGAAGGAAGGAAAAGAAAGAAAGAAGAGAGGGAGGGAGGGAGAGGGGGAAGGAGGGAGGGAAGGAGGGAAGTTGGGAAGGAGGAAGGCACTGAGGGAAGAAGACTTTGGGCACCATTCCAACTCATTAGATTGAAAAAGAAGAGCTGATTTTAAGAGTCAGCCTCAGGGTGACAGCCACAAAGACCATTGTTACCTCTGACACTGTTGTAAAATCAATCTAGTCTAAAGTAGAGACAGTCCAGCGGTGCCATGGCAACCACAAGCTGCTGCCAAGGAGAAGGAATAGAGTTACTCTGTAGGCCAGATAGACAGCCAGAAGAGTGTGCTCCTGTGTGCTCATAAAAGGAGTCCAGGAACCTGCCTCTGATCCCAGCACTCAGGAGGTCATTTTTCCCTGGGATACATAAATGCACAGAACCCAGTCCAAGAAGGGGAAGGAAGTGCATATGCAATCCCTTCATCCTGAAGAACAATACTCATTCCTGCCTCTAACATGACACTTCATCCTGTGATACAGGAAATGGAGCATCAAAGGATGCTGTCATGAGAAAGTACAATATAGGATATTCATTGAGAAATATTCTATTGTA